TACTGGATTCACTACACCTTATTCTCATAATGTACCTGAGAGCTCCCAGAACTATGCATTTTGCAACTGGTCTAGGAGTCAGGCTAAGTCTTGCTGCAAGAGAGAGTTAACCAAGGAAAGAGGCTGCAATAAGAATGAGCCAATAGGGCTGAGGTCAGGTTTCAACACAATGCAGTTACCAATGGGGGTTGCAACATTAATACTTAGAAATTGAAGGCGGCGTCTTTCCAGAGTGGCTAAATCACCAGAGAGGGAAGTTCAGTGGCTTTCAGCCTCCACTGTGAAATGCAAGCAAGGAACTAGGATTGTTTTAATTCCTAGAGGCTGTACATGATCATAAGTACCAGTGATTCAAAGTAACCGTACTGCCCTGAAAGAAGCTTTTTCTATCTTAAAGAGCCACAACAAAGAGTGTATAAGGCAGATAGCCCTGTGTCTGATCTCTATCCTGGCCTTGCATTTTTAAGTGAGATCTGGGTTAACTCTTGGGAGCACCTCAGTCTTGCATTGTTGGTTTCCACATCCTCAAGTCTGAGCTACCTCTCTGTTGGCACCTGCTGTGTTCTTTGCATCCTCTCACGCTGCATGCGTGCCCATTCCCGTTGCAAACAAAGTAAAATCCGTCCATGCCACTGGGCAGACTAATGCATAATGGTCACTTCTGAATGGGGTGCTCTATTGGCACTCTTTTCAACACCTCTGCCAATTTTTACAGCCCGGTACAGTTCAGGTCATTTCAGCTAAGGACCGCAGCTATCTGACCCACATCTCCCACATCTGCTGCGACAACAGCTTGTCGTGCTGAAAGAATCGGTGCTCCTTTGTATTTAAAACATCTTGTTAGGACTCTGTCTAGCTACAGAGACACTAGGAAGTTAATTCCAGTCTGCTATATCTGATTTGCTCCACCATATGCAGCCAGGATTACTCAGTTCTGCTGCTGCCATGCAAGAGGAAATCGGTTAAGCACTTGAAGATTGGGTGGATATGGTCTGGGGTCACTTGCTCAGTAGCATCTGAGTGAATGCCACTGTGTCCCAGACGGTTAATGTCTTCCACTGCTATATTTTTGCTGGCAGCTGGGAACGAGAGAAGACCCAACATGCTCGCAGGTGCCATAACAAGTCAGTGAATGAGAAGGAAGATGAAACCATGGATGAGGAGGATAGAGAAGTGGAGGGCACAGATTCACCTGAACCTCATGAAGTCATGGTGGCAAGAGAGGAGATCAACATGCTGTTGGCAGAGCAACGCAAAACAGCAGCCCTAAAGGTGAGATTGAGCATAAGTCAGTGACCTCTGCATGCCCCAGCCAGAGTCCCAGGGTGAGGGGGTGGCAACTACATCGTGTATATAGTATGGCATCAAATGGAGGCAGAGCTGGTGCTTCAGACCCCAGAGGACCTGAAAGAGGAAAGAGAAGTGGCACACACAGAAGCTTGCAGCAGTTTGCATACTCCCGGCTGTAGGAGCCTGCAGGTGGGCAGGGACTACAGCGCAGCTGCAGGTGGCAAATTCTGATTACAGGCTGCCTAGGGAATGGGACCAGCTGAGGCAGATGACTAGCTGGTGCCTGAGCAGCTAAAAGGGCTCCTAGGGAAGAGAATTAGAGTCAGTTAGGGTCTGTGAGTTAGCCCTTCAAGGACTGAGTGAATCCTGTGTGGAATATGTTAATGTGTGGGGCCTGAGTGGGATTGTGGCTGGTTCCTAAGAGGGCAGCAAGCCCAGGAAATAAAGAATTCTGTATAGTTAAAGGACTGTTTGAGCTAATTAACCCCAAATCCAACACACACACACATACACTCTCTCTCTCTCCCTCTCTCTCTCTCTCTCTCTCTCTCTCTTCCCTGAATTTTGGTAGCCTGGTCTCCTGGCTGTGTAGAGGTGATGGATGTGCTTTGCCATGTCAGAGCGTACAGGGGTCTCTGATCTGGCAAAGGGCTTTTGTGGTGATGTTGCTTTGGTCTGGCTGAAGAGAAGTAGTAGAAGAAATAGTGGAGGCAGATGGTCATTTGTTGTGATTCACTGAGAAAAGCTGCGGTGGGAAATCACTGCCACAGTATTGGAGTGGGTCAGACAGGGGTGTTCACAGATGTTTCAGTATGAGCAAGAGGGCTCATGAATTGAGCCAGGCTGCTAGGAAGCCCTCAGTGCTAATCCAGGCTCTGCCATTCATTCCTCAGTACTGGGGTAAGTCACAAACTCTGTGTCTTGCTTTCCCATTCTTCAGGCAGGGATTGCCCTTCTTCCTGGGTGCCCACCTTTGTACAGTTAGGGCCATCTGTTAGTCACTGGTAGCTCAGTGCTTTGGGAAATCTTTGGTCTTAAATGACATTTTGTGTCTGTAGGTTTTCTCCAGCTGAGGAGTGTTCCTGGCTGTGTATTTGACAGTCGCATGGTTTGCCTTACAGAATATATGAATAATAATCTCCATTCTCATTACTGCAAAGCACTGTGCCCCTAGACCCCCTATCCAGGGAGGTGGAAATACAGTATCTGGCTGCACAGAGGAGGTGATCAGACAGCTGAGCTGTTTCTCAAGCACTCTAGTAAGTAAATATTACCATGCTCCTCTCCTGGTGGCTCATGCAAACTCTTGCTTGCCCATTCAGGCAGAGCTGGAGAAGCGGTTAGCCAATGCCAAGAAGAAGGCCTCCCAGATGGAGAAGCTGCTCCCCAGGCAAATCACCAGCAAGGACCAGCAGGAGGTGCTGAGGCTGCTGTGTAGGGCTCACGAGCTGGAGGTGGGCAACACGGAGCTGCAAGCCAGCGCCTTGTACAAGGAGAACCTGCTGTGCCAGAAGGACTTTGTGATCCAGCGGCTGCAGCAGCACAGGCTGCTCTGTGAGGAAATCATTCAGCAGCAGCAAACGCTGATTCAAGGTAAAACCCCAGCCCTACTCTCGCTCTGCTGGCATTGCTGGGCTTTGGTGATGCCGAATGGAGACTCCTGTGCCATGAGCCACATCCTGCACCGACCCGCACTGGCTCTGCTAGATGGTCTGGGTGCTCGCTAGCTGTTTGTCTTCTAGTGTTTCCCTAACTTTCTTCCTCCCTCCAGACCATAACATCCCTGTCCCAGGGACCCTGGGGAAACTGCATCATCTGTACTTTCATGAGTTAGAGGAGGGGACTCTGAACCGCCTTCTCCTGCTTCATTCATTGATGTCCGCCACGCTCAGGGTAAGGCAGAGCTGACCTGTCCTTTTGGCTACAGGATCCCATCCACCGCTCTATGCTTCTGGGTAATAGCCATTCATTTGCACACACAAGAGACCCTGCTGTGTCTCAGGAACCCCCCAGGGTAGTCTGAGGCAGCATCGCTGGCACGTTTGGGGAATGTTCCCTTCTCAGAGAGGTATCGGGCTGCTACCTGGGGCTTGGTCCATAGCTGTAAGAATCTGTTCTTTTAGTGTTTGATTCAGCAAAGCACATAATGTATTTGCTAAAGTTCCCATGAACTTGTTCAAGCACATGCTTGATGCTGTTCTGAACCAAGATCTGCATCCTACCTCGGTGTACCACGCTGGCTTAGAGCAAATGATACTCCAGTCCCCCTCTGAAGAAATGGCTCATGTTCCAGAGTGGGTCTCTCTCAGAGTGATGTTGTGAAGATGGAAGAGGGTTGCTTACCAGAGAGCCTCTAGTTTTCTGAAAGCTGTGACTCAAAGGGCTTCTCTGATCCTCCCTCCTTCCCTTTCACTCACAACTTAAGGCACAGGGCTCCTGGAGACAAAAAGGATATGAGGAAAGACTGGAAGGCTTTCATACCATCAGCCACCCTCATTTTGGGTTCGGGGGATCCAGTGAGCTTGGTCCTTTTTAGACAGAGTCCAGGATTTCACTTGACTTTGTTGTTTTTGTTAGAATGGAGTCAAAATGCATGTCCCCTCGCTGCAAACTGAGATCAAAGGTCTGGAAACTAGGCATGCAGGTCCAGCGGGGGGACTCTGTAGGGACAGTTATTAGAAGAACAAGAACAGTAGATAACCTTACCTTTCCCAATAACTGAAACATCCATCACCTCTGCAGCCTGCTGGCATTGGGGCACAGGAGCTCATCCCCAGGGAACAGTGGGATATGAATACATTGTCTATCTCTGTTATTTTTGCAGTTTTTTGTGAGGATTTCTCCAGACCGTAGCATGCTGCTGGCCACTTCTTAATACCTTGTATTAGCAGGAGGGCATCCAAATGGCAACTCCCCTTATGCATCCTGGCTTGTCTCGAATGCATGTGACACAGTTGGTTCTCACGCTGAGTTAGGCTTGCTGTCAATCCTGTTGATACTCAGGAGGAGCTTGGGTTACAGATTTGAATCCTGCATGGGGAAACCACAGATGCTTCATCAGTGGAGATCCCTGCCTCTAAGTAGGAGGCTGGCTTTGCCACAGGGGCACAGCTCTGACTAAAGTGCAAAAGCTCGGCCAGTCACTCTGCTGGGGATTTGGGTGCCTTTTGAAACGGAGGTGAGCTAAACAAAGTCCCTTTCAGCTATTTGTAGTCTTGGGGGTCACAGAAGTGGCAGAAACCCCTTGAAATCCTCTCACAACCAGTTTTTCCTCTTTGCTTCCTTAGTGCCTGACCAATATGGTGTCCTAACCTGGAAGTAAAATCTGGCCTGCAGCAAGAGTTTCAGTTTAGATCTGCAATAGGATCTGGGTTCCAGGAAAGTCAACAGGGTGGAGAGAGGGCTTTGGACTGAAGATACCTGTGCTCTGCTTGCTGATGGTCTTACTGATCAACTCTTTTCCTGTTGCCCCAGGATGGCTCCACTCCAGACATAGCTCAGCAGCTGGACCTAAGTAAGGAGGAGGCCAGGAAAGAGCTTGCTGACAGCAGGAAGGGTCTTCCTTGGGGAGCAAAGTTTGAGCTCCCATCCATCGTCTTGGAGTCAGACAGGTAACATGGAGGCATTTCTATCTTTTTCTGGGGGTCTCCTCACATTCCCATTTTCCTCTCCATTCTCCAGGGCCTGGTAGCATACCAGATAACTGCAGAGGCTACCCTATGGGGTACCGAGGCTACCCTTGGGTGTTGTTGAGATTTTCATTATAAAGCTCAGGACCTTGATAGTGACTCTACAACCAGAGGGCTGGCTGCTTGCTTGGGGTGTGGGAAAATTGGAAGATTAGGGACTTGAATCTGACTTTTCTACATCCCAAGTGAATTCCCTGATTGATTACACAGCCAGTCTCTTGGCGCAGTCAGTAGTTAATTCATATCGATTTAAGCCTGGTAGTTGGAGCTCTCAGGTGGAACAGCGGGGACTAAGAGTCGGGTACCTTGTCTGAACGAGGCAGAGGCAGGGACTTGAATCTGTCTTCCACATCCCACCTAAGTGACCTGAGGCCTGGACCACTGGCAGTTCTGAGGATCTTGCTCTGAATTTGGCTAAAAATTCCATCCGGGCACGTCCGTATTTGTGGGGATTTTTTGTTGTTGGAACTGAAATGTTCCTGGGAAATGTCAGCTTCTGTAAACTGCAAACGTCTGCTTCATCAAAAATTTCCCTGTCTGCTCTTGGCTAGGTTTCCAGGTCTAAAATCCTCCCAGAGCAGGGAACAAATCAGAAGGTCCCTGGTGTCTTACTTATTCATTGTACAGCTCTGTGTTTTAATAGGAACCCTCTCCCAGAGAGCAAGTGGGATGCTGATTTGAAACCAGTGAAAGTGAAAGGATGTGAAGCTCTCTGAAGGGTCAAGGTCCTTCCTCTTACCTTCCCAGACACTCTCTCCCTACCTCTGCTTTTATGCAAGTCCTGGTCATCTTCCCCCTATCATTTTGGAAGCTATACTCCAAACTGGTATCTCCTATTGCCCTAATAAGACTGAGCTCCCTGTCTGTCTCTCTGAAGGTCCTGGTGCCCATCTCTTACGCATGTAGTTCCATCTATTCATCCCTCTCTCTGTTCTTTTCGTAGTGACAGCTACCGCTCATCTAAAACGACACCTGCCAGGAAACTGGGGAATCCAGATATCCTTCTCAGTCCTACTTTCGCTCGCTTGCCAAGAAGCCCAGGTCACCAGGTCAGTATGGTAGGAACAGAGTCCCAGGGGGAGTTGCCAGAGTGCTGTTGCAGTAAGTAGCACCGTGTGTGTGAAGTGGACAAATCCCTCATGGTTGCATGTTGTATGGTGCAGTGAAGGGTGCAGGAAGGAGGTAAATATCAGTGTGCAACAGATTCTCCCCAAAGTGGTGGTCTCCTGGTTTAAGGTATTGGGGATACAACTATAGAGCCTTAGGTTCAACCTACATCTCTGTCCCACGTTCCTTTGTGAATTTGGGTAAATTATTTCATCTCAGTTGCTCAGTTACTGGGGATAGTTATACTTTCTTCTCTCAGAGGTGGAAGGGAAAAGACAGCATTTGTGTATAAGATGCACAGATGACATGGTGACAGGAGTCCTAATACCTAGATAGCAACATACATTATAGGAAAGGGAAATCATATGGTCCCAGATTATCAGATACTTCTAGGCCAATAGCCAATTCACCTAATAAGGAGACCAAATTATCATCTACTCACTGTATCCAATGCATGACAAGGTAGGCATTAAAAATATGCCTACCTTGGGGAAAGAAGATGATGAAGTGACTTCCCCTGGTGTTCACCTCCTCCATGTTATAATGGTAAGACCATGACTAGAGAAGGCTGTTGCTGTCCTGGAGAACCTGAAGCTGGATGGTGTTTGGTATTATCCAATGCCCTCTCAATTAACGCAAAATTTATTTTAGGAGTCAAATTCCATGCAACCCCTTTTTGAGGTTGACTTGTGGACAATCTGGAAGGGACTGTGATATTGGCTAGTGCCTGAGAGCAGGATGGAGAGGCAGGAACTCTTGTCCCTCCCAAAGCAGGCTCCTTTTGTAGCCACAGGTAGTTTCCTGACCCTGTCTGCCTCAACGTAAAACAACACCGACCTGCATCTCAGGGGGAGTGACAAGAACTGACTGTTGTTTGGGACATACCTTGAAATGAAAAATGCCCTAAATGTTAAGGAAGAAGTCACTACTGAGTTGCCTTATGATCTCACTGCTTTGATTTCTACCAGAAATCAACTGGTGTTGCTGCTGGAAAGAAGATTCCCAAATTAAATTCTCCCACCTCCCTGGACTTAACCAGGAAGAAGTCAGCTGTGGACATCATGACTTCTCCACTGAGCCCAGAGGCTTTGAAAGAGATTGCAGTTAGCACCAAAAGCATCTCCCTCATTGCAGCCCGCCGGCGTTGCAGGGCCCAGACCAGAGACCATGGGAGTGAACCCATCTCAGCCCACTTTTTTGAGGATGACATGGTGGAGCCAAAATATCTGCAGGCCAGCTCCACTCCAGAGCCTCGTGTGAAAGGCAGAGGGAGCTTTGGGAGCCTCCCAGAAGAGCCTCAGAGGGAAGAACGGCTGCACCCCAAAACCAGGAGAGAGTTGAGAAAGGAAAGAGATCGGGAAAAATCAGCAGAGAGGAAAGCCAGGAAGAAAAGATCTCGTTCTCTTGAACACAGCTCCCAAAGGGTAGATGATCTATATGTTTCTTCTAGTGGGGGGAATTGGCAAAGAGGGACCCAAAGGGAGGAAATATGCTGGACGCGGTTGGGTGGAGAGATGGTCCAAATGCTGTTATGGCAGAGGATAGTGCCCTGGGCAGAGGCAGCGCTGAGCCACCACACGGGGAATGTTCTGACTTGCACAGATCCTTTACACATCCACTACACTGTTAACTCCTGGTAGCCCGAGCCAGAGACAGACACGGGACTAAGGAACCTGCTTAGGGGTAATGTGACCCACAGCTTCAGAAGTGTGCGGTTGAGGTCAGTGGGTGTCTTGATGGTGTCTTCTAGGTGTCAAAAGCAAAACATCGGACCCCTTCAAGTCCCAACATGGACAACGTCTCTGAGAACCAGCTGCCCAGAGCTAAACTCTCCTTGGAGTCAAAGGGCAGAGGCACCCTGTCCCCTGCCACGCAAGCTCTTGCCAAGGTCAAATTCCCCATTGGCCACCAGGCAGGTAGGACCAATTGACAAGACTTTACAAGACACCTTCAAGTGTGTGTTTGGCTGCAGCCTGCAGATCAGTCTTTGAGAAATGGGAGAAACAGGTCACAGCAGAAGTCTATGCTAACATGAGCTGCTTTAAGAAGACAGAAGCTTCTTAAATTGCACAGAGTTGTGTCAGGTAGACTAGTAAGCTCTTGGCTGAATGGGACGTTGAAACTGTCATGCTCTTTAGGTCACTTTCTAAGTCACTGCCTCCTAAATGTCCCTACACCCTGAAGCCCAAGTGTCCCTATTCATTCTGTTCTGTGTGTGGCACCAATTGCTAGTATCAGCCCAGTTCCTAACACACAGGTGTCCACGAGTACAGCCATTCATTTGGTCAGCCCCAGCACAGACCGGAGGCTGAAGGAGCAGGTTGCATAACCACCTCTGGTCACTCCCAGCCTGGCTGGAGATGCATGGTGCTGGAACTGCCAGCGGGTCAGCTGTGCTGCATCTGTGGCTAACCCCAGGGGATTGCAGCGTGGGGTTTATCAAACTGTTCAGGTGAACTGGCTGCACCAGTCCAGCATTCAGACCCCTGTGATGACGCTGACAGCCCAGCCTCCCCCCACCCCATTCTGACACCTATCATTAAATTGCCGAATTCCCCTTTGGTTGTTCATTTAAAACAAATCAGTGTTATTAATATTTCACTTGCAACTCTAGCACTTATTACTTGTATCGGACGTTGTTTGCTTGCCTTACTCCTCTCCCAGTGTTTATAGTGAAGACTTCTGTTTCTCCCGCATTGCCCAACAGAAACTGCACTGCAGGTGCTGGTGATAAGCAATACCCCACCCAGCACTGTCCAGCAAAGCAATGCAGGTCTGACTCGAGGGCAGGTCCTACAAAAGCAAGTCAAAGGTGAGTGGAAAAGATATCATGCAGCTGGCTTGTGTTCCACTGGTGAATTCTTCCCTCCAGCCCTCGCTCTGTAGTGGTCCCAACCAAATGAGCTGTCAATATAACAGCTCACTGCTGAGTTGGGAAAGCGATCCAGTGGGCAACGTCTTTTGGAGCCCAATTTTAAGCCACATGTAGCAGCAGACAGACAACTGGCAGTGTTCCAAAAATGGGAGTTACGTTCCACCTTCCCTTCAGCCAAACAATAACTCTTAGGAGGGGAGGATAACCTCTTCAGATGTGTTTGCAATCCTACCATAATCCATATAGGAAGCACAACTAATCTGAGCTAGCTGTGTAACAATGGGGCTATTTAATGCCTTCCACTAAGATTTTCTTTGACTCTTAAGGAAATGAATTGCAAATCCAGGACATACTGAAACACAAAAAAAACACCTCTCCCCAAGGCCCTGAAAAGACCTATGCTCTAATTGGTACCTATCAGTGGGGTCCAAGTCTTAGTGCTTAATTGATTTTTGGGCCACTGAGGCAAAACTCTGCTCCTGCAATGTGAGAATGTGACCCTCAACCCAGTCTTCTTTCACACTCAGGGCCTGCAGATGGTGCCAGCAGCCAGCAGAAGAAGCAGTCAGCCAAAGGCACGAAGAACCTGCCAAAGTCAAAATAGTCATGGGCGAAGGTGGGAGACTGCGAGTCTGTCTGCCTCCAGGTGACCAGGGCTTACAGGGGTGTTAGGAGTATGTGCATGAGGGAGCCAGTGTCTTGAGAGATGTTTTAGCCAGTTTGCTATGAGGCTGGGGAGAAGGAAAGGGCTGCATATTGTCTGGTGTTTTCCCCTTCAGAAGTTTTTGCTTTACCAAGCTCCAGTTGCTTCTTGCCTTTAAGACAGATTGGGGGTTGCTTTGCTGACTGTTAATGTTCAAAGGAACAGGCAGCTCCACTTTTTCTCTGTCCAGAAGATGGCAGACGGGAGTCTCTGTCATCTGGTTGTCTGCACTCCAGCACAGAAGAACCCTAAATTGCCAGGGCGAAGGTGTGGAGATCATGCAAGGGGCAATTTAATTATTAAGAACAAACTCCTTTAAAATACCTCCCCTACTTTCCTGATGTTTATGCATATCACAGTGGAGCTGGAAAAGGTGATGCATGTCTGGCATGAAGCTTGGTTGAGCAGATGTTTGGCACCGGGAACAAGCCAGGAGTATTTTAAGTACTTTGCCATGTGCTGAACAGTTCAGATCTTCCAGGAGAGGTGCAGTGATCAAGACAGGCTGTGTTTTGAGCCTGGGGGGGAGGTGAGCTAGGGGAACATGCTTTCCTTCCAGCAGTTTTTCCTGTGTTCCCTTGGAGGAACAGGCATGTTATAAATAAATTGTGATGAGTATTGTTTCCTTGTTCTTGGTGTTTTCTTTGCATTACAAAGTGGCGTGGGCCATTTCACTGAGTAAAGGTACTCTTTATTTCCCCAAAGGTGAGTAGCTTCTCTCAGCACACCTGTTTTGCCACCTGCCTGGCATTTTACAAACACAGCCAAGCAAGGTCATGTCACATTTGTGGGCTCATGTGTTTTTTAAATGGCAGGCAGGTTATTAAATGGATTTTTAGGGTAGTAATAATCCAGTACTGCACGTGGGGCTGGGGAGACTGAATTCATCAGTATTTAGGAAATGCCTTAAAATCCTGAAATGGAAAGCAGTACAAGTGCAAAACAGTCCTTATGAATTCTTCATTCTCACTGTCAGTGTAATAATGCAGTCTGATGTTCCCTGTTGAACATGAGGAAGCTCGATGAAGCACATTGCAGACGAGATGGGCCAGGAGACCTTCTTCTATGAAGATGACTCTTCCACATGAGCACAGAAATGAAAAGCACGCCTAGATAAAATAAGCAGACAGTGTGAAAACAAACCTTTTCCAGCAGGCCGGGAGCCAGCTCTCTCTTCACAAGGCACCACATGACTCCAAGGAGGAGCAAAAGACCCCAGGCAGTGGGATGCTGCAGGCTTTCCCAGTGTATACATCCCAGCTAAATAGCTTTGGGCTGAATCACTATGGGACTTCCCAGTATTATGAAGCAAGGCTCTATTTCATATAGAGACCAGGACCCTGAATCCTGAGACTACCTTGCTGGTTTGTGGATATAACTCTGAATGGAGGTTACAAACAAATAAAGCCTGGTGATAAGTTCCCCAGAAGAGTGCAGGGAGCAGGCAGTGTATCGGCACATCATGTGGCAGTACTATTAACAGCTGTTAATAATTTCTCTAAATTTAAAAGCCACAGTGAAAACAAATGTGGAAATTGTTATTTGAGAATGACGACCACACAGATGGTCGCATGGTTTTCTTTTGTTGCTTTGAGAACCACAAAAACTGTCAGTCTCCAAAATACGTCCCCAAATTGGGCACTTATATCCCAAGAGGAAAAACACTAATAGACTCGTGTTCAGCAGCCGAATGAAGGACTTTGCCTTTGACCTGAAGTGAGTAAAACTCCTGTTCTTGTCTCTTCCCTGCCACAGAAAAGACAAGGGTTGAAACTGTTCTGAGCCTTCACTGTGATGACTTTTAACTGTGCTGAACCAAAAGGGGACCCAAAGCTTGCTCAAGTTACGGTTGCATTGACACCATGCTCGCATTTTCTGGGTCACCCCTCCTATAAGTTGCACCGACCGGGACAGCTTGAACTGCATTTCTTCATTGGAAGGCCAATGTGCAGAGAGGACAGGTCTCCGTACCCGATGTGCCACTCGGGGACAAACAGCCCGGCTCAGATACCCTGCTCTGCTGGCTTGTTTCTTCTGTAACCATGAATGAAAACAGTGGCCTCTCATAGAGCCTGGTTCTGCTGCACAAAATTGCTGTTGCTGTGAATGTGGCCCTGCATTTCCACCCTGCACAAAAATCACCCTCCTGAACCATTAGGTTTTCCTGTCTTTGATGGTGCTGTTCCTTTACAAACCTGTAGGCAATTTAGCAATGATTTCTAGGTTAACAGACCCACGAAAAGCTTTTCCTAGTATGAGTAATTGGTTGTAAGTTAGTTTGACAATGTAGCAGCTTACCCACAAATCTTCTAAGAGAGCCAGGAGCCTTCTTACAAGGGCCATAGCCTCTTCATCTGGTTACACCTTGCTCCCTGTTAGACTAGGAGCAATCACTGGCTTCCACCTCCTCAGCAGATCATTTGCAGGACTGTACTTATTTCCATTGGCACCATGGGCAGCAGACCCCAGTCCCGGGAACTGCTTTCTGATCTTGCTGCCAACTCTAAATCCTTCCATCTCTGACTTGGGGCTGGATGAACCCCGTAGTGGGCCCCAGGCTGAAAATCAAATGTTTATATTATTTTTTGCTTGATGCTTATAATACATAAAATAAGCACAACTGGGCCCCTTCTTCGCTTAGGGCCTGAGGCATGTGCCTAGTATGCCTATGTGGTAATCCAGCCCTGCTCTGACCCGGTTTCCGGAGGAGGGGACGGACACTGCGTGGCGTTTTCTTGGGTGAGGCTGAAGCTGGGTCCTTATTCCCCATTCTCAGTTCTCTGTTCCTGTACATTTAGGGTGAGGCTGAAGTTTATTCCCCATTCGTGTTTCTTTTTGGAATAAGGAGCCAACACTAGCTGGACGCCGGGGGGACATGTGGTTTGGGGGGTTTGCCCATAACCCCAGCTCCTCGTTCAGGCCCATGTGCTTGATCTGTGGCTCTGCATACGGTTTTTAGGAGGAAAATCCACTCTTAACTGTCTTGCGTGCCTGATTCATTGCTCGCAGCCTTGCACTGTGTCTAAGATGCATTTTGAAAGAGGAGCCACCTCATTATCGACTCCAAGATGAACGTGAGCCGCCAATGCCAGACTGCAGCCAGCAAGGCCAGCCAGACCTTGTCATGCATCCAAAGGTGCATCTCAAGCCGGTCCAGAGAGGTGACCTTCCCCTCTACGCGACTTTGGCCAGGCCGCAGTTGGAGTACTGCGTCCAGTACTGGGCGCCGCACTTCAAAAGGGATGTGGCCAGCCTGGAGAGGGTTCAGAGGAGGGCCACCCGCTTGGTGAGAGGGCAGCAGGACAGGCCCTACGAGGAGAGACTGAAGGACCTGAACCTGTTCAGCCTCAGCAAGAGGAGGCTGACGGGGGACCTGGTGGCTGCCTACAAGCTCATCGGGGGAGATCAACAGCAAATAGGCAGAGCCCTTTTCTCCCCAGCACCACCCGGGGTGATGAGCAACAATGGTCACGAGCTGATGGAGAATAGGTTTAGGTTAGAAATCAGAAGGCGGTATTTTCCAGTTCGGGTGGCCAAAATCTGGAACCAGCTTCCCAGGGAAGTGGTCCTTGCCCCTACCTTGGGCAGATTCAAGAGGAGGTTGCACGATCACCTGTCTGGGGTCTTGTGAACCCAGCATTCATCCCTGCCGGTGGCAGGTGGTCAGGCTAGGTGATCTCTTCAGGTCCCTCCTGACCCGAGCTACTATGAAACTACTGCTATGATACTATGGTACCTTCAGCCTGGGCATCAGTAGTTGTTTTTTTAAATAAAAAAGGAAGTGGGACCAACGAGGAGCCGGGGCCGCGCTCATCCCCCGGTGCGGGCCGCACGCGGGCCGGGCCGGGCTGAGGGACGCGACCAGGGACGCGCCGCGAGTCGGTGGCAGAGCGGGGGCGGCCCCGGGGCGGCGCCTGCGGGACCCCCGGGCCGGGCCGGGCTTCT